GGTGCTGCCCCTCTCTACCCGAGCTGATTGAGCAGGAGGGCTGGCAGAGGGGTTGCCCGCTGCCTGCAACATCCCTACGCTGCCGTCTGAAGGGACAGCGTGGAGATGCCACCTGGGTACCCATGCCAGCAGGACCTCATCCTCAGCAGAGCATCTCTGCCCCCGCCAAAGCCTGGGGTCCGGCCTGGCCTTCCTCCCTGGCAGCTCATGGGGGGCTCTCAGGCTCCGGCTGCTGGCTGTGCTTGGGCAATGGGGGTGGGTCCAGTACCCACTTCTGTGCTTGGCTTTGACTCTTCCTTGGTCTGGACCCGTTCCAGCCTGCAGCACAGTCCTCCCTATCCATGGGACTGCCTTGGGGGCTGGGCATAATGCCTCCCCCAAATGCCTGGCCTGGGGGGCCATAGGTAACCAGAACACCCCCACCCACCCCCACTCGCTGGTGTGCCACCCTTCCAGCACTGCCCCCCATTTCCACACCCTTCCACTGTCTTCTCTGAAGAGCCCAGGGGAGCTGGAAGGGCACCCCCAAGCTGGGAAGGTGCCTGGCAGCCAGGTCTTGGCATGGAGCTTCCTGTCCCCCCGGGGAGCAGTGGCACAAGGTGACTGTGCACGGCTCACCTCGCCAGGTGCACAGCAGCTCTTGGCTCCTTCCAGATGCTCTGTCCAGCTCCTTCCCATCCCAGTGGGCCCTGGGGAGGCTGCTGGATGCTGCCATTGGGGAGAAGGGAGCCTCAAGCCCGGTTGAAAGTCTTCAGCTGGGTGGCAGGTATGCGTGGCCTGAACCACGGCTGGACGGGGCCCTGCCCTAGACCCCCCAGCCCCAGCCCTCTTCTCTGCAGCCTCAGCCAGTTCACATCAGAGGTCCCCATCAGCCCCATGGCAGCTCCTGATGCTCTGCCCAGCTTGCAAGGGGTTCGGTGCTACTGCCTGGTGCTACTGGGGGCATCCTGCCCAGTCCCAGCCTCCCCCAGCTGGCTCCCCCTTGTCCCTAGGCACATGGCTGTCACCTGTGGCCAGAGGAGAGGTCTGGCATGAGGGGGCTGGAGGTGGGAGCAGCCTTGCTTGCAAGCACACGCTGCGGAGATGAGCAGGGAGCCCTGCCACCAGGGCCTGCTGCCGCCCGCCCCCCAGAGCCCACTCGCTGCTCGCACCAACTGTTCTCAGCACAGCGGGAGTCGTGTTCCTGGCAACCCGCTCCCCCATCTGGTGTTTGTCTCCTTCCTGAAATACCTCGCGCTGGGCGGCTGCTCTGCGGGGGATTTTACACCCCAGGGAGCGGGCTCCCCCCGCACTGACAGGCTGAGTGGCCTCTCACTTCCACGGGCAGCTCTGAGATGCCCTCTCGAGGGCTGTGGCATTGGCTTTGGCCCAGGGGCCAGCCTCAGGTCCTCTCTTCGTCCTCTACTCACTCCTTAGCTCAGGGCTGGCCTGTCTTGACAGGCCCAGCTGGGTTCTGGGGAGCTTGCCACATGTGGCCTCTGCTCTGGAGCCCTATCCCATGTTCAGGTCCCCTCCGACACCAGCGCTGCCACGTGGGAGCCACCAGCCTGAAAAGGAGCGGATCCGCTGAGGGGTGCAGGCAGACCAGCTGGGGCAGCCGCGATGGGGTGAGCCTGGGGGCCACGATGGCTCGCACATGGCAGCCAGCATGGAGGCCACAATGGATCCAATACAGAGGCCACGATGGAGTGCACGTGGCACCCATTTCTTGTCACAAGGCCTGCCCAGCAGAGTCGCCGGAGCACAGCCATTCCAACCGAACCCCCCAGCAGAAGCCATCCCTATACGGGGTTGGGTGATGCTGCTTTGATTCTGGGCAGACTTTTTCTTCTGAGCGCCACGCCATCACGTCCAGCAGTGCCTGCTGCCCCACGGCTGACATCCCTCATGTGCCCTGGCTCCTGTGTGTGGGAGGAAGGCGGTGGCCAGGGGGTATTTTGCTTTGTGAGCCTGTTGTGCTGCCCATGTATTGCTTGTATTGATGGGAGGCATGGGACTGGGAAGGGCTACATGCCTGGTGCAGGTTGTGGCTCCTCGGTCTGGTGCCAGGTCCCCAGAGGCTGCCAGTGGGGTAGTGCTAGGAACAGGTGGCCCAGAACCAGGGGCTGTTGGGCCTCACCTGAACTGGTCTCTCCAGGGGCTACGGGGCCACTCGGGCTGGGGTTGGGGCTCCTGGCACTGCGTTGCAAGGGGCTAGAGCCAGCATTGCTAGCCCTGAGTGTGCCAAACTCAGGACTTGGGGTGGTGGGTCATGGCCTGGGATAGTCTGGTGTCATTGTTGCTGCTTGGCATCTGAGCTGCCAGGTCCCAGGTGAGTGGCATCCATGTGATTTTGGGCTGTGCCAGGCCCTGGGGCCTCGGAGCTGAGGGTCTCTTGGCTCCTGGGGCTTTTGGGATGTTGGAGCCCCCTAGAGCTGGCAGCGGCAGCCCCTCGGGAACCCACCAAGGAGCAGCAGCTCCGTGCCCAGCCCCACGTAGGGCACTCCGCGGGTCCCACTGCACCCTGGCATGGGCGGGGGCCCTCCCTAGCTCCCCGCCCTGGGGTCTGGGTGTCTAGGGCTGCAGGGAGGGGGGTTTGCTGCATCCTTCGGGGAGCCGCCACCCCCCTCCCCAGGGGCCTTCCCAGCTGGAGAGGCAGAGCTTGCTGCTGGGTTGCCGTGGCAACAGAAGTGCCAAAACAGGGGGAGCAGCAGGGAAGGATGGTGCGGGGTTGCCATGGCGACGGGAAGAGGGAGCCTGGCTTTTCCAAGCCGGTGCTCCCGGCAGTTCCCCTTAAGCTGTGGCTGGCTCAGGCTGGGCTCCCTGCTGCTGGGCCACCGGGCCTGCCCCGCTCGGGGCACCCGGCTCTGGCCTGGCAGGGAGGCCAGGGCTTGGCCCAGCCCCTGAGGGCTCCCCCCCATCATGGCCGGGGGCTGCAGGACACGGGAGGTTTGCAAAGGGTCCCCCCTGTGCCCAAGGCTGCCCCTGCTGCCTGGCTGCAGGCAGGAGCTGCAGGGCCACTATGGCTCTCCCACAGGGGACGGGCCCCCCCGGTGACACTGGCTTCCCGCCCCCAGCAGGGCTGTGCTGGGCTCCTCATTAGGGCTGTGTGGTTTGGGCCCAGACAACAGGGATCTCTCCTTGCAGAATGCCTAAGCATGGGCCAGTGGCGCAATGGATAACGCGTCTGACTACGGATCAGAAGATTGTAGGTTCGACTCCTGCCTGGCTCGCGCGGTCTGCTTTTGGTCCCGGCTGCAGGCGACAACCTGGTGAGGGGACTGCGGGTGCTCGACCGCCTGGGTGATAGCGAGAGCGATCATCGGCTGCTCGAATCCACCATCCAGCACAGGGTGTCCAAGGCCTGCAGCAAGGCAGCAGCCCTGGACTTCAGGAGGGCTGATTTCAATGAATTAAGAAGATTAGTTGGGGAAGCACCAAGGTCCCGGAGCGGGGGTGGGGGAGTTGGGAGTCCAAGAAGAGTGGTCGTTCCTTAAGGAGACGATCCTCTGAGCCCAAAGGGCAACAACCCCAATACGAATCAAAGCGGGCAAGAGTGCTCAAAGCCCCCCTGGCTCACCAATGACATTTAGGATCGTCTGAAATCAAAAAGGGAGGCATGCACCCAATGGCAGGGAGGGGCCGTCACCAGGGAGGACTACACCTCCATTGCTCGAGACTGTAGGGGGGCAGTTAGGAACGCTGAGGAGGAGACAGAACTGGGACTAGCGACCCGGATCAAGGATACCAAGAAGTCCTTTTTTAAATACATAGGGAGTAAAAAAAAAGGCACTGGGTAATGTGGGGCCCCTGCAGGACGCACTTGGAGATCTGATGGTCGCACTGGACAATAAAGCTGACTTCTTTAACAAATTCTTTGCCTCCATTTTTCTGAGCAGGGACCGGGAAATCCCCCCCGCCAAGATCCCGGATGGACCCAGGGGAGGTGCAGCCGAGCCCAGGGTTTGCGAGGACCTAGTCAGGGAACTTCTGGTGGGACTGGACGTGTTCAAATCAGCAGGTCCTGACGATCTCCACCCCAGGGTGATGAGGGAAATGGCAGAGGTCATTATTGTTGGACCCCTGGCACAGCTTTACAAGCACTCGTGGTGCTCTGGTGAGGTGCCAGAAGACTGGAAAAGGGCCAATATGGTCCCCATTTTCAAAAAAGGAAGTGAGGACGACCCAGGAAACTATAAGCACATTAGTCTTACTTCGGTCCTGGGGAAGCTCTTTGAGAAAATTATCCAGGAGCACATCTGCGAGGGACCAGCAGGGGAGATTATGCTTTCCTGCCTGCCCACAGGGGCCAAGGGCTTCCTAGCCTCCTGGGCCAGGGTTGGGGCTGGGCACCAAACAAGGCCCTGCAGCCCCAGGACACGAGGGCAATTGCCAGTCCCTGGAGTCCTGCCATCTCCAACTTGTGGGGGATGGGGAGAGGTAATGTACCCCTACCCCCCAGGTGTCAGGAATAGGGGACCCCAACTACTTTCCCACCCCTAAGGACAAGAGCCCAGGGAGGGGCCAAGGAGGTAAGGCCTGGGCAGAGAAGCCAGGTCTCTCCACCATCAGCCAGGGCCTGTGCTAGAGCCTGTTACTTGCAATGCCTTGGGCAGCAGCCCTTTAAATATGGCAGAGCCCCTTCCTGGGGGCTGTTTTGCAGCCAGCTGCAGCTTGCCATGCCAGCAGATAAGTCCTGGCTACAGCCCTTGCTCACAGCTGGTCTCGGGGTGGTGGAGCCTCTTGCCCCTCCAGAGGGACCCTGTTCCTCCACACTCATCCCCATCTGTGCCCTGGGGTTGGGCCTGACTTGGGTGTGCTGGGTGCTAGTGGGTGCCACCACTGCCTGGGCTGCTGTTCAGCAGCAGGGCACAGGGACATGCAGTGAGTGAGACTCCAGGGAGGCCATGACCCAGCGCATGGCCAGCATCCCTGTGCCTGGGGGCAAGTCAGCCCTCCAGCATGATTGCCACTACCCCCTACCCCCACCCCTTCGCTGACAGACAGACATGAGCCTGGGCTCTGATTCTCCGCTTTATCAAGGACCAACACGGTTGACTTGACTTGTTCTGCTCCTGGCGGCCATTGGGTATCGGCTGGTGTGTCTAGGAGGCAGGCAGGGCTCTAGGCAGGCCTCTTGGGTGGCTCCGGATAAATGGGCAGAGTCCATGCTGTGGCTCCTTTGGCCTCTCCAGGCATGACTCATGAGCAGTCAGTCCCCTTGGGATCCATCTGTCAGCTGTGCCAGAGCAGGGTGGGGGGCTGTGCTGTGCTTCATTCATGCACTGCCCCCATGAAGGGAGAATAACCCCATGGAGAGCAAGGGGCTGTGCTAACCCCTCCCCTCCAGGCCTGCTGGTACCTGTGTAAGGGGCCAAGTGGGCCCAGCCATGGGGCAGGGGTAGCAGGAGGTCCCAGCTTTGGGAATGCAGCTGTGCCCAAGCCCCAAGTACCTGTGGATCCCCCACAGCCCTGGGCAATGGAGATAGCCACGTGTTAAAACTCGGTGCTAGTGGCAAATGTGGCCCCTTGATGGCGTAACTGCACCTGACCGACATGGAGCCTCCCTCAGGCTGGGCAGCCCCTTGTTTGGGAGGTAAGGCCAGTGGCTCCATTCTGCCCAGTTGGGCCCAGGCGGTGGCTGACAGCACAAAGACCCCTGCAGCCCTCCCAGTCAGGCTCCACTCAGCAGTCCCCCGGGGTGGGTCTGGCCTGTGGAGCTGGGGCTACTTCTAACAACCCCAACCATGGGGCAGGGGCCCAGCAGATCCCAGGAAGCGCTGGTAGCACCCATGGGATCCACCTGAGTCAGACTCGCTGGGAGCAAACACTGTATGTAGGGGGCACTGCCAGGCTTCACCCATGGATGCTGATTCAGGCCTCTGTGAGCAGCAATGAACCCCCAGGCCCCCACCAAGCCACTGCCTCAGCCCTGGACTGCAATCTCCCACTCCCTGCAGCCCCACACTTTGCCCCCTTCCCTGCTTGTGGCCCTCCAGCTGCTGAGGGGTTAGTGCCACACTGTGGCCACTTGATGCCAGGGTCCTTGTTGCTCCCACCCTTGCTCAGCGCAAGGCTGCGGCTGCCCCCACCACCCCCTCAGGCCTGGTAGAGTGGCACCACCCTGTCGATGGGGCTCCTGCAGATGGGGCAGGTGAGAAAGGGCAGAGCCTCGAAGCAACGGAAGCAGCAGCACACATGGCCACAGGGCAGCAGGACGCACTCGCGGCCCTGCACCAGGCAAATCACACAGGCATCCTCAGGCCCATCCGATGCCTCGGCCCAGGTGCCCAGCTCCTGCCGCTCCTCCTCCTCCTCCTGCTGGTAGCGGTGCTGCCGATAGGCCCGGCAGAGGGCCAGGAGGAGGACGGCGAGGCTGGCCAGTCCACACAGCACAGCTGCCCCCTTCCAGAACCGGCTCAGCGACTCCAGCTCGGCCAGCAGCGTCTGCCAGTCCCCCAGGCACAGGAAGTAGTCAGCGCCATCGCCCGGCGGCTGCAGGTGGAGGGTGCCGTCGGGGTGCAGCACCAGCTCCCCAATGCCGGTCAGACTGGCCCCCACCTGCAGCATCTCCTCTGTCTCCAAGAAGCCCTTGGGCTTCTCTCCGCTCAGGTAGTGGCCGATGAGGTCCTTGAAGCCGTGGGCCGGCTGCTGGAAGCGCTCGTACACCGTCTCCAGGGGCAGCCGCAGAGCAGAAAGCGGGCTCTCCACGCTCACCCGTGGCACTGCCCCGGGGCCGGGTGGCGCCAGGGTGAAGGGCACCGTATGCACCTGCTCCGACAGCACCCGCTCGCTCTCGCTCCTGCCACCAACCGAGAGGGCAGCCATGAGCCCAGGCCGAGCCCACGGGCTGCTGCAGAGCCCTGCCCTCCTCCTCTGCCCTGCGGTCCCTTCAGCCGCGGGAGGCCGCTCGGAGGCTGAGCAGGCCGTGGCCTGGGCCCTCAGGGAGCACAAGTCGGGACCACGCAGAGGACGCTGGCCCGAGACGGCTCATTGCTCCCTGCCCCTTACCAGCTCCCGGCCAGGCTGTTCCAGACGAGCCGGTGCTCCTTCAGCAGCAGCTTCTGGATGACGCCCTGCAGCTGGCGGTGGGGCGGACTGGCGAGCGCCGCGGCCCAGGGGA